CGGCGGCAGGGCCGGAGGCGGCGGCTCTGTCCCCGCTACCGGGGCTCCGGGCCAGACTTTCACCTGAATCTGCTGTGACGGCCCAAAGACCGTGTAGGCTATGGACATCAATTTTTAGTTCATTGCATGCCAAAAATGCCGGTAATGAGGTTAAAAAACATTAATGACTTTCTGGAAATCCATATCGCCAACAGCGCCAGGGAGTTTTAAAGCAGCTCGTTCTACTCAGTAATTAAAAATAATCTTCTAGCATTTGAGGTCGTCTAGTAATACAAATGTTTCAACTTCAATATTTTTCTAAAGTCACAACAAAATCTTCCTGTCAGAGGTATGGAGAGGATCTTGAAAATACAAATTCAAAGTGCTAAAAAAATTAGAAGGCAAAATGAAAGTGACCCCAAAAGGGGTATGATTAGCAAACCCAAAAGCAGATAGCATGGCAGTAGTACAAGCATCACTGCAAACTGGGTCAGGTTTAAACACCAGCAACACTTAATCTTAAAGAACAAGGGTGGCTAAAAGGCTGAAATACACCCCTGCCAAGAAAAGAAGGAAGGAAAAAATTTAGAAGTTGGTCATCATATGGCCAAGTTGTGAACCACATCAGAGAGGTCAGAAGCAACACAATTTAAAGCTAAATTTATGACGTGCAGAGATCTTGCTCCAGTAGAAAACACAGTAGACAAAAGTCTTGCCTAGCACTTGCAAACATCCATGTCTCACTGATTTTTTGATGCTTTCCTGCAAACAAAGTGTGATAGTAATGCCCGGGGTTTAATTCCAAGGCCCCCCACCCTCTTCTTCAGGGTACTTCAGATGCTGAGCTGGACCTGAAAGAAGAGCACTGGTGCAGAACTGCTGCTCCCTCCGTGTCCAGGGGGCACGGGAAGGAGAGGCCCTGCAGGAGGTAAGGTGTGCCAGTCCCCGGGTAAGTCACGTTGGCCCAACACAGTCCCCCCATGGAGTGAAGTCACACAAGGCCTTGCGTTATGACTCTTGTAACGTAATTCATTCCCTGACTTACTCCCGTGTAGCAAAACTATATCCTGCCCTTTATTCAAGGCTCTTGGCAGTCCCATAAGCGTAGGTGGCATCGAGTGGAATCAACAGAGATTATAATAAAAACTTTTTAATTAAAATAAACCACTGGACTTCGCTTTTGCAGTGAAAATTCAACAAAAGAAATCACTAGTTGGTGTCTATATTCCTCTCTATGGGGTGAAAAACCTAGGGGAGTACTTCACCCGCTTCAGTGAAGATTCTTCTCACGATGCCTTCCCTTGGAGTATGTGGTGATTTATTAGACTATGGAATAGTCAACCAAGGGAATTAGTGAGTTTCTTTGCTCTGAGACATTAAAAACTGAACTAGTAGAATTCATCAAAAAGTCCCATTGACAAGAGGGGACAATATGTTTATACAAGTGGTTCCTCTCTAGTATCTGTGGTACTATGGGTTTAAAAAGAACGGTGTACAGTAATTTCAGATTTTCATTAAGAAAGCTAGAAGATTTTGCTTTGTGGCTTATTTTTGAAATAGTATACATTCTGTTGTTACTGGCTACTTCTATGGGTATGTGGCCTCATATCTTCTAACTATCTCACACCAAATCTACCAAATTTCATTGTTAAGCGATTCTTTAAAATACTCCCTCTCTAAATTGTACAACAAAAACATTAAAACTCATGGTTTTGTTAGACTAAAATGCATCATTTAACTACTGCAGGCACTGTTGGTCTGAAATGCCTGTTCTTAATCTTCTTTTTGAATTCGCAGTTTCTTTAAGAAAGATTAATAATTGCACAGTTTGACAGGTCATGTTGTAGCTATACAGGGACTATACACATGCATGCACAAGACAGTCATGCAACTGACCATAACCACTATGTGCTCCAGTAAAACGTACAGACAACTAGTCCTTACTAAAGGAACTATTTCACTCTCTCAGATAGTAGGAGGAATCAGTGTACATATAGTTTTCCTACGACTTGATGGAAGTTGCACAAATTCCATACAATAGGAGTAGCAACAGCTTCTACTAGAAAGGCTGGCATCAAAATGGTCCTATACGGCAAGGTTTGGAACTGGATTCAAGCATTGCTGAAGTTCATGAAACTCCAAATCCTGGTTCATGATCCAAAATCCTCTCCAATGAGAACACCGCATACTTGGCATTTAACCATTGACATACAGGCTTATGGCAAAATACCTGGTTTTCCTAGGTAAGCAATTTGTAATGACTTCTGGCTCTATTCGTTATACACACACAGCATAGACAATACAACAAGGCACGTGTAAAGCACCAAGGTTTTAATTAGTTGGCATGCCTTCATCTTCAAAACACAACTCCAAACCTATTGAGACAATAATATCTCCATTTACTTCACAGACTACTAAAGCGTCAGGTGAAAAAGGGGAAAAATCACAAGAGAAGTTGTCCATTGTCAGCAGAATCACGGTATAAAGAAGAGCTGGGGAGCAAGATGTGGGCTTTACTTTAGATTTCATAGTAATGAGAGGGGCAGGGAGCCGAACAGGGATAAAGGTGCGCTAAATCACATGCAAGGATGGTATCTGCATACCGTCAGCTTCTTCCTTACGGTCAGAGTGATGAACTCATATGCATGGGTTTTAACAACCACTTAACAAAGTGGCTATTTAGAATTTCAAGGATCAGTGGAAACATTTACAGTCAATTCAAATTGTACGGTTTTTGTCATCCAGAAAATGATGAGGTTGACCTGTCTGAGAATGAGCAATAGGTCTTGAGTGACACAGTAAACTCCAACATCTGTGTTAAATGTTATAATGGTTACAAGGCACTCCTCCAGGCTTTATGTTGTTTGGAAAAAGTGACACAAAGTATTCCCCACTGATTTCTGTATCCCAGTCAGAAAAGTATTCTTGCTAATCTAGGGAGAAATCCTAGCTCCAGCGGTATCAGTGTAAATTCATGCGATTGGTTTGGAGCACATTCTATACATTGTCTTCTCTCTTGATTTTTTTCTTCCAGTTCTGGTCCCTGTTTCTTAAAGTCAAAGTTTAGCTTTGAAAAAAGCTGCAATTATCTATAGTAAGCTTTGCAGCATGGGCTTCCCCCTTTCTGTTCCCTAATTTTCCAGAGATGTACATCAGCAAGTGGCAAAAAACAGATAGGGGGATATGTATACAAAAACTGTTCAGGAGCTAACCATGCTTGCTCAACAGCAGGCACACAAAGCAAAACGTGTTTGTATGTGCAGAAATGTACAGAACAAATATAAGACCTAATCCAGCTGAACATTATAAATACTTCCCGATTTCTGTGAAACAGAAGTTACTTAGTGTCTTTGAAGATATCATCAAGACTTGGCAAGATCGTTAGGGAGGCTGTGTTCCACAGGACGCCGAGTACGTGCACATACTGAAGCGCTTGGGAAACTGCTCAGAATCTTCCAGAATTTGCTTTCTTTTGAAAATCATGCTCTGGGATTCAGTAATCAACTAAATGAGCTCTGCATAGGCTTTTTGTCATTGGAAATCAGCCTTGATGGGGCTTTTCATGATGAATAAAGATTTGGTCATAGTTCAGTCTCAAATTCCTCAGGAGTACTTTAGAGTTCATCCAGTTTTAAAGACTGAATAATTAAAAAAATAAAGTAAGGCTTTGTGCTGGTTATTCCCTAACTATGTTAATTGCATGACAAGTTTCAACTCAGATTTTATACAACAGAAACTTTTCATGTTTTTCCACTCGCTGAAGCAAGATTTCATGGGAAAGTTATTTCTTGTTTTCTCTCTGCAACATTTATATTTAAAACTTGCTTTTCTTACTTTTTTTTACACTGAGTCTTAACTTCATTTGAGGCCAGTTATACCCACATGATAGTAAGGCTTTCACAACCTACTGATACAGATTTTCTGCCATCTAGACAACCATTTAAAACCTTATGCTTGACATTTCATTTTTCCAGAGTAACCAAAAGGAGGCACATACTTGATAAGGAAAGGGAATTATTTTACCAATTTAACCAGTAGAAAGAATTATCATGTGCAGATGCCTTACTCATACGCATAAAAGGAAGTCCCTCAAATTCCATACAATAGAATAGAAACTACTTCTGCAAAAGTTG